CATGCATGCATACATACATGCCTCCCTACCTGCCTGCGTACCTATCTACATACCTACCTGCCTGCCTACCTTCCTTCCTTCCTGTCTGCCTTCCTTCCTTCCTTCCTTCCTTCCTACCAGCCACCTGCCCACCTACCGACCTACCTACCTACCTACCTACCTACCTACCTACCCAGAACCTACCGACCTCCTCCGGCCTACCCCACCTTCCTTCCGCACAAACCAACCTGCCTATCAACCCACCTTGCTCCCTGCCTCCCTACCTACCTACCCGCCTACCTACCTACCTACCTACCTACCTTCCTACCTACCTGCCTACCTACCCTACCTACCTACCTACCTACCTACCTACCTACCTACCTACCTGCCCACCAACCCACCCACCTACTTCCTACCTACCTCCACCCTCCCTTCCTGCTTACCCCACCTACCTACCTACCCGACCTGCCTGCCTACCACCTGCCTGCCTACCTACCTACCGACATACCTACCGACCTACGCAGATACACACATAAGTCCATACTCAGTTTCAAGATTGAAACCTCAAGTTTATCAACCAAAGCTCACGGGACCTGTCTGGCAGCTTCAGGCTCGCCAGTAACAAAATGTCACTCACCGACATTCATTCATGGGCCACACAAAGGGGAAGTTGCGACAGCAACCGTGCAAGCATCCTACTCGCAGTTCATCGCTTCCCCCTTTTTTGGGATACGACCCTCGTCTTTAAGATGTTGCTCCGTCTCGGGCTGCAGCTGCAGGGTTGGAATTTTGGTTTGGGCTTAAGCGCTGCAGGCTTCTTTTTTATGCACGAGCCTCAACTATTTGCTATCTTGAGTGGGACTAGGTCTCTATAAAGTCTAAGTCTTGACTCTAATTAAGTGATTATGTCACATCTCCAGTTGCGCCCATTCCTGCAGTGGAGGGAGCGTTTTCATGGTAGGATTAAAGGATTATTTGCAAAACTGCTGCTCGTGGCAGCCACAGGGTAAATCTGCAAAGGTGCATGGACTTGAGCTTCTTGAGAAAGCCCCCCTGATCCAGGGTCTCTTGATGCAGAAAGCCCTGATCCTGAAGCTGCTTAATGTGGCTCACGCTGACCACTGCGACTGTTCGACTTGGTGCTGTCAGAACATCCTCACGGGTCCCGCGCTCAATGCTGGCTGGGCAACTGAAACGGGAGCATGTCAATTGCTTGGGTCGTAAGTTTGAGGAGTGTGATGAAATATGGCATTAGAGGGATTCGGTTCGCCGTTTGCCCACGTGTGTTCGATGGTGTGCCATGAGGCCTTACAGGAAGACTGAGCCTCAACCGTAACCCCAACTTTCTCAAATACTCACCACGACAGATCGGTCCTGTTTTGGACCCTATCACTTTCCGTTGGTCTGCATCTCTAGGTGCGTGATCAGTCCTGCTGAAACGTCTCCCGGTCCAGCGGCATACTCCATGGAACGCCGCCAATTGACAGAAAAACGCAACCGGTGTGGAGAAAGCTCAATTACCTGACGGACAGCTCATTGATGGAGTTTTGTCACAATCGGAAACATCCGATCATGTGAGTCATGTGCGCACGACACGCAATACAGGAACCTTGAGACTTAATTCGAGCATGGGGCTTAGCTGTGCTTTACTATATAAGTCATGAAAGGGATTGTAACAGGGATAACTAACATATAGCACGCTCGAGACCAGAGCTGTCCTTGCGGATTTTGTCCAAAGCATCCAAGTGCTTCTCGTGAAGAAATCGTCTGGGCTCAAGTGGCCGACTCAATGGCTCCATGTCCTCCAAAGGTCCGCGGACTGTCTGTGAAGATTGGAAGATGTTCGTCGCTGTTCTATGGGAAACACAAAGCACAAGCTTAAGTCAGCAAGTGTCCACAAAAAGCTCATAGTAAGTGCACTGCGCAGGTGTGTCTCTGTGTGCGTGCTTCCAGACAGCAGTGCGCGCGTGAGCATGTGTCCATGCACCTGGCACGATTTCAACCGAAGCAGTCCTCCGGACCCGTCAAGCAGTAGAATGAGTTGAAGCTCGCAGTAGCTTCCTCCCAGCAGCGACAGACACACTGGCTTCGATTGATTCGCCTTAAACTGCTGCTGTGAAAGTTCTGGTTGGTGTTCGTGATCGCATCAGAGAAATCCTTCCAGCAAGCAGACCCTTTAGCAGGTGTTCCGAAAAGGTGCCCTGTGCGGCAGGCAGTTTCGGGCTTCGAAGGTTTCTGTGTATCTACAGGCTCCGCGAATTTCGTACGTCTATATAGACCACGGTTGTTTCAACTGGTTAAGCTGACAAACCCCGCGCCTCATATGCGTCATGTTCACCGCCCGCGTTGCGGGCTGTCGCACTGGAGTCCAAACTGCTGTGCAGAGTTGGTGGCGGCCCATCTTCAACCAGGATCTCCTGGGTTCGTGTTCCGAGATTTAGTTCAGGTTACCATAAGAAGGAAATCATTTGACTTACTACAGATCCCTACTATGGTGACCCAAATCAAGCCCCTCAACAAGAACCCAGTCTCTTCCGGCTTTGCAGGAGCCTTCAAGCAGCTCAAGGACTCCCCGAAGCAGAAACTGACCCGGCGGCCATCTGCTCTAGCCATGGCCATGAGGAAAATCGACGCAACTGCGATCCACTGCAGGAAGAACACACAGCGCGTGAGCTGCACTGGACATGCAAGGACTGGCAGGGATAAGCGCTAGCTTTGCCTTAAAGCTCTCAACATCTCTCAACTGGCACGAAGATTTCCGAGGCATTTATGAAACAGAAAGGTCTCGACTTTTTTGCACGTCACAAGGCGAGCTTCCTCTTTGCTCTGCAGCGAACATCACCTCGGGTTTGAGATGTTGCCGTCATGGCGTGTACTTAGAATTCCAGAGCACAAAAACCGCAGTATGTCGCACTTCTGTGTGATCCCAACCCTATGCGCTGCAAAGCCGCCAGAACTACTTTGTGCCGGCCAAACACCGCCCAGGGACGAGTGCGCTGGGTTTGGGCATCAAGGCGAACCATTCCGTTGCTTGAGCTTCTCCAGCAAGTAACGGAATGTATTTCCTGGGTACATCTGGTGGCGTGTCAACAGTCGAGCAACTAGTGTGGATACAGTGGCACATAAACCTCTTCAAAAGCTTCGAGGACCTCCTTCTTGCTGCCGAATCTCTTGATGAAGAATAGTCTGCATCATCAACCTCAAGTTGGACTCAAGTCGATGCAGCGAAAGACGTGCTGAGCCGGGCGATACAGGGTGTGCAAGGGCAAGGGCTTCTTCAGCCAAGCAGCGAGACATTCAAGGACAGTCCTTGGAAGAATTGGGGGCTTGGGGATTGCGGCCGCCACATACTGCGCTAGATTCAACAGGCACGTGATGTGGACAAGGAGCGGTCAAAAACTCTCGTCGGCTTGACAGCGAACTTGTGGCTATGAGGCCGCACGGCTTGTAGTCCCACTAACGAGATCTAACAAGGGTCGGAAACCGAAAAGCAGAAGCGGACTGGACCTGCTCATGCTAGTCTGGCTTTACAGCAGTTGCCCTGCCAGCGAGAACTTCAACTTCTAGTGTACGCGACACGAGAAAGAAGGGGTCCTACATGACCTCAACACTTCCAAACTTCGGGCATGGGGCCGAGAGTCTCTGGCTTCGGGGCGTGGGCATTTACACCAATGCGGTCCAAAATGGATGCCTGACCCCAAACCAGCGCAATTGTTTGCACGAGCTCAAAGTGCATCGCTTTTGAAGAAACGTCCGCGATTTCTCCATCAGTACTACCCAGTGTATGTATACTTCTCTGTATAGCCGATCATAGATTAGCTGGGGTTCTTCACTTGCACCTTCCCCGTCAGCGTGGTCAGCAGTTCTGGCAAGCCAGCCCCGGTGAGATGTCTTTGTTGATCGAATGGGCAGAAGACCTCCGGTACAGAGAGTCACAGGATACGTGCAAGTGCAACTTCGGAGCACATGCTGGCACCGCTCTGCCGCCATCGAAACGAAACACTCCAAGCATCCTACCTGTGCTCTTAAGTCTAGGTTCTTCCGGCTGACCGATTTCAAGGCACGGACCCACCCCAAAACAACACTTCACCAAACCAACCCAATACGCTTCAAACTAATTACCAGTAGTGGATGTGCTCCTTGAGGCCACGGCCATGCTTTCGACCGATGGCGTCAGTGAGCAGCTCATCCTTGGAAGTGTAGTTCGCTCCAACATAGGCTTCTTTCAAGATGCAGTCTCCGGGAACTCCGGCTGACGAAGGTTCTGTGCCGCTGAAGATGTGACTGTTGGCGCGTTGACATCTTGAGCTGCTAAGCTGTACGTTATGTCTTGTATACTTGCGTTGTGCTCATCTAACCTCAGCTTACACGGAACTCGATATGTTACTTAGCTACGTCTGCTACTGTAGGTCTTTCCCGCCTTCAAAAATGTGGAAGCAAGTTCATGAACCTTAATTTCCTAAACCTGAAACACCAATTGCAGCGATCCGTGAGCTGCTTGCACTTCCCATGATGGCTGAAAATATGCCTGCCCTCTACGAGTTGCCTAAGCCGGCTTGAAAGGGCCTTTTTACAAGAACTGATGGCCGATGACGCAGATCAAACCCCAAGAATGACAGGGGGAGCCAACGGGCTTGGTAAGAAACCATGATCACCGCTACAATGACACTCATAGCTACCATGGTGCTAGATAGAAGTCTACTCCGGTTCATCAACATCATCCTCCTCCTCATCCTCATCCTCATTATCATCCTCATCACGCCTTTTATCTTGATAGAGTCGGTGCGAGTCAAGAGGCCACTGGACCACGAACTTGAGCTCCGAATCGCCTCCGAAGGCTCCGCAGCCCCAGAGCCCCGTCACGAACTTCCTGCAAGGGAGCCGCTCGTCTTTCATTCAAAGCCCAGCAACCGAAACCAACCAACACATTTGCCATCTTTCACACCAGCGGATCTGCCAGTTCTACGTCACTACTTCCATTGTTGCAACTACTGAACTGGCTGGCTCCGCTCTCATCCATGATACCGCCGATGCTCGTATGTTGCGAACCTAATGCTACTGGCATTGTGTCTTGCTGCCTGGTTTGCTGCGACCGCTCCTTCGTCCCGTGCAAGCATCTGGCGCCAGCGCCGAGCAGCACTTCCTGAGACAACGGGATCTAATCTAGTGACTATAGTGGCTTTGATAATGAGAATAGGGCTTTGGGGTATTGTATAATATAACTACAATGACAAGGGTTTGAGGGTTCAACCCCCAAACCAGCTGACACGGCATTGTGGGTCCTCGCGGCATCTGGCGTGCAGCCCACCAAAAGCATCGGGCAGCCAGGGATCCCGGATAGTTTATAGAGCAGGTGCACCCAAAAGAACGGGTGGTAGCCACCACTGAACACGGTTGATGATATTAATCCTGCATTACCCATAATAAGGAATACACCTTTATTTGTATAGTTTAGGGTCCTTAAGGTAATGCAGGATTTATATCATCAACAGTAGTGTTGTTTTCAATTTGTTTTTTTCGGAGGGTCTTCTACGGTCAGATCGTTGTGTCACCAATGTGTCAGTGCGAGGTCGCCGGCCATGACTTTCCCATGCCAAGTGTAGTCCCAGGTACTCATCCAAGCCTAAATTTCACATAGTTTCACTGCTACCAGTGACAACACTTGACTTAGTCTCTGCTTCTTGTCTCCCACTCCGAGACAGACCTGGCCCATAGACAAATAACACTCACTCACTCTCGCTCTGACTTACTCACCCACTTACTCACACACGCACGCACGCATTCACTGTCTCCATGTATCCAAGTGTCTGGAGTTCTCGATGTATTTGCTCGCCAGCATACTGGAAGTATCCTGGCTTTCTCCGATAACCTTGACATGCAGCAAGGCATGGCTGAAATGTAACAGAACGCCAGGCAGGCAGCGCCTGGGCTTCAGACGTCTCAAGCACGCAGCTGTCAGTAACGCCGGCCTCTACATGTCCACTATGGTGACATAAGTTTTTCGGTCTGCCAGCAGATCCGATGAATTCACATGGTGTCTCCAGCCGGGGGGCTGAGCGCGTCCAGAGCTACCTCGGATGCGAGGTCCAGTCGCATTCTGAGCAGACAGAGTAAACACTGCAAACTCCAACTAGTGACCTCTCATTAGCACGGGAGGTGCTCTGTTCCATGACCTAAGCATGCGACTCTGTAAATAAGTGCTACTTCGGGAACTGCAGGCTGCGTCTTGAGCCGGCGAATGCTTGCAGGGACATCACTTTCTATGAGAAGGTCTGCCACCGCTCGATGCAGGAAGGCTGCTGCCTCAATCGGCGGTCCGATCGTGGCCGCAGCTCTGCAGAATTGCTCCTCTCTCTTCGTATGCCTTGCTGCGCCCATGTTGTGCTCAACGAACTTCCTGCCAACCATACACATCTGCACAACTGACCTGCATGCAACCATCTAAAATCAGGTGGCAGGAGCAACCTTCGGAGTTGTCAAATGCTTGGGGACTTCACGGTAGCCAAAAAACTTGAGGCACATGGTTGGCAGCAGCGACTGCGACATGCGTGTCCGGAGCGCAGTGATGCAACTAAGCTTCCTACATACGGTCTATATTCTAAATATATATATATACACGTACATACATACATACATACATACATACATACATACATATATACATACATACATACATACATACATACATACATACATACATACATACACACACATATACCATACTCTACTGTGCTTCCGAAGCTGGCTGGCGTCCTCGCACCGACCATTTCCACGGCTTCATGTGGCAACATCCTCCTGCACAGGGCAACTGCTTGCATACATGAAATGCTAACGAAGGGATAAATGCTCATCAAACGCCGATCTGATAGAAATGATGCAAGGCAAGCGGCTCAACGAGATAGATGCTTGCAAGCAACTCTGGAAACTCCACGAACATACACTCCTCCTGTGTCCCACCTGGACAAAGGAATCATCAAGCACGAGCGCTAAAGCTGTCTGCATGCCCATGGCGGAGAACATGGCATGCTTCGTGGTCAAGTCAAGGGTGCTGCGGCCTCCACTCAGAACTCCGCCGCCGAGGTATTGATTCGCAAAGTCTGCTTGCAAATCGTTCGGGCCTGAGGCTCGATGGAGGCAAACAACTCAAAATAGGCACCCTTCTGCCCACCATATTGAATGACCGACTTTGTGCGCCCACACGGGTACCACTACGGCTTGGATGCAAGCCAGGCTTCCGTCGAATCCGTGGATGGACACGCCGTCCTCGAATGGAACAGGGCAACAAGTGGCGACAAGGTCGAACAGCCCGGGAAAGCTTCTCGTGGCAGGTTGCCCTCCATCTAGCCAGCCGCAAAGGACGACAAAATCCCGAGCCCGAAGCCAACAGTCATTAAACTGATCTGCACGCGGAGGTCCCTGCTCAGGCATTGATGAAAAGCTGGGACGCTGATTGCGGTGTCTATAGTATAGGGGTCTACGAGGTTTAGGGATCAGGCGCACATTCGAAGTCTGGGTGCCGTAGCAACAATACAATTGCATGTCAGATCAACAGGGGCATTCGGTGGAGGGGGCGGGGGTGAGCGGGATGCTCCCATTCGGAGCAGCATCGGATGGTTGTGCTGATTATGTACTAAAATCTGGCACTGCACGACGGTTACGAGGATGGAAACACGTAGGGAGCGGTACTGTGAAAAGAATTATGAAGTCAATCATGTTTAGTGGGGTGAGAGATATTTTGCAGACTCCCCCGGGTTACGGGTTCACACGGCCAGTGCTTTCCACCGGCTAGCAGTGATGTTGCAGAGCCTGCGGAGTTTTGTTGGATGCAAAAGACAGGCATTGGATGGTGTGATGCTTGCGATGGGCATTTAATACTCGCAGTATGTTCTCACGTTCCAACAAGGCGTGACTTAGAGGTGCGGTGGATGAAACTGGTTCCAAGGAGCCGGCGAAACCCCTGCTGCTCGGGACTGTCAAAGAACAACAACCACGAAAGCAACAGCAACATCAGCAGCAAGAGCAGCAGTAACAGCAACAGCAACAGTAATTAATGACGACACCACACCACCACCACCACCACCACCACCACCACCCCACCACCACCGCCACCGCCACCGCCACCGCCACCGCCACCGCCACCGCCACCGCCACCAGCACCAGCACCAACAGCACCAAAACCTACCACAACAACTAAAACACAATCACAACCACAACGGTATTGCCTTTGCCGCGTATAAGCATCTGAGATAAGCGTACCATTTGTAATCCTAAGAAGCACAACGGCAGCGCAACGCATGTTCTCCTCCTGCATCTCCACTGGACAGAAAACTTCGTCACCAACTCGGTGGGCTCCGCAAGCCTTGCACTGACTCACGGGGTTCGGAGTATCTCTACGTCAGCGACCGCACTGCACTAACAGCGTTCTTCGACAAGGCTTTCATGTAAGCTTACCAGAAATGATGCGGTGTGAACAGCTTAACGGTTCAACTCTCAACCTACAGGCAGGTGCGCCTTGACATCACTCGTAGCAAGACGTCGGACCACACAATGCAAACTGTTCCAGCATGTTCCAGCGCTGCAGAAACCCGACCACATTGCAAAGACAGCAATGAAGCTGCCCCACCTTTCTCTTGAAGATCAGCGCTTCGTCCATGAAGTCTGTGCCTGACACAACCCGCGAAGACGCTTGGGTTCGAACTGGATGTTGGTCTTGAGCGGAGCTCGGTGGGAGTCAAGTGCAAGGAGCGAAACGCTCGCATACCACTCTGTGCAGCTTGAACCCATGACACCAGAGCTGGGGATTGAAGCGTGGAAGCATAGTCACCACCTAGACCTCACCGTTTCGAATCCTCAACTATTCAGCCTACATCGCGGGAAAACTGGGGCCAGAGCTCTGCTGAGACATCTGAGCGAAATAGAGCAGGACGGCCATCAGCACGAAGTTTTTCCCACGCCATTTCCTGGTGTAGCCCAGTGAAAGGCTAGGCGATTTGGAGGGGGTCTGCGGCTTGGCATTTGGGTTTAGGGTTCAGGGGCGGGTTCTATGCCCTCAGCACTGAGCCTGGATGGTAAAGGGGTCGCCGTCATTCCCCAAGTTTGCGGCTATGAAAACAAGTCTGAAAACCACCTGAATCCTAGAGGCCCCATCTTGAGCAAGTGCCTGGCAGCGATGATGGTCATGATGACCATGGTAATGATGGCGATGATGGTGGTGGTGGTCGTGGTGGTGGTGGTGGTGGTGGCGGCGCGGCTCGCGCCTTCTTGTGTGGTGTAGTGTAGTGATACTCACCTAAATTCTAAGCCTGTGCGGCTTCGAGAGGTTTTGTAGGGTTCTTTGGATGTGCTTAGTGGTGTGTCGGGTTACTTACACGGGTTTAATTAGCCACCTTCACGGGACCTAGGTTTCAGACGATGTTAGTGTGTGATTATATTGGCTATCGGTTTGGTTAGTAGTTTGAGGTTTGGCATCATTTGGCATCATAGGTGCGTGTAAATTGTTTCTCGTGGAATGAAATACGGCTTCATTTCTGTATGAATAAGGTGCGCGGGGTCCGGGTGTTATAGCCCCGACATCACGGCCTGCAGTCGTACAACCACAGCTTCTCGAAGCTGAAGCCCGGCAGGTCTGTGGTGTCCGGCTGCCTGGCTAAGGGCTTATCACGGGGAGGATGCAGACTTCGAAACTCAAAGGACATGAAGTCGTGAAGGATCCTACATACTTTCTTGGAGCCTGCTGTACCAGTCTCGCTGCAGGAAGCCGAAGAATCCAGCAGCCAGGATTTCCAGGCACTGCAGTCTGGAGACCGTCAGCCTTGGGGAAGCAGCTAAGCTGCAACACAGCCAGCCTTGTCATGCTCATCTCACCTCTGACCTGGCAATGAATGAAATCCTTGAACCAATCCCAGGGTTCCTGATTAGAGATCTCAAGCTCAACAGATCAACCACCACATGCCTTACAACAAGAGGGCGGTCCTGACGATTGCAGTCTCACCGGCCGGTGGCTGAAGCTGCCTAGGAACTTGGTGAACCCACGGCCTACAGAACCTTCACGTAAAGCTTCGCATGCACAGGAAAAGGAACTGCCTAATCCAGTTTGCAGGTTGTCCCCTACCAGCCTCTGCACTTCAGCTTTTGTTGCACTTGAGTCCATGTTGCCACTCCACCTTTTCACACCGGCTGCAACTGCGTATTGCACACAATCCTCATGTCGACTTGGACCATGACTCTGTAAGCCGTGAACTCGGAACCAACGAGCCGACACCAGACGTCTAATCAATTTTCACTTCTTCGAGTTCTTGTTATGATTGCCTATCTTCTGCCCTTCCACCTAAAGCCAGAAACTCCATTCGCCACATTCCGCAGCGAAACAAAGTCTGTCTTCGTGCAGGCCAGGTACTGGCGCGAGAACCTAGGTGCAGCTGAAGAAATAGTCAGTGGAAAATATACGGCAAGGTAAGGCAGCCTTGTTGCGCGACTTCTTTTTCGGGAACTGATGATTTGCCTGGCAGTTGGAAGTTTGGCTATGCAGTCAAGCTGCGCTTCTGGCTTTCCATGCACGGGCGAGTCTGGATTCTGAGATGCTGCCAGCAAGACCTGCAACACGAACAATGGCCGCGCACTGATGTTAGCAAGCGTTCAGGCTGGTCTCACGCCGCCGAATCAAGCAATTAGCTCTATAGAACTTCTAACTTGCGCTCTCCATGGTCTCTCCTGGTCCGAATTCCTATCAAAGCCCTGAGCCCTGAAGCGCAAAACCAACCACACACACACTTGTGTTGCTGCTCATGACTCCAAGTTCACGTGCAGTTCTCGCCACAGAGTAAGGTTTCAATGGTCCCCAAGCCAGAATGAGAACTCTGATCTGCTTACGTTCCAACGGGAGGTCAGCTGATGACCCAGGACCCAGAGACTCAGAGACGGTTCAGGAGACTAGATTTGCAAGATACTCCTTGGCTAAGTCTCCCACAAGCCCTATCCCCGAGTCTGGCACTTGCTTCTGCCACCTCAGGGTGTTCTGCAAAGAATAGCTGAGACTGTGTTGAGCTTCTACGATACACTCTGTGGACCAATGTGCTGAGAGTGTGCACCTTAGCTGCATTCGCCAGGCCATCGATCACGGAGGTCGTTGCCCTCGGCAAAGCTCTCGCAGCATCTCAATTGTTCGAAAACAAGGCCAGTGGCACGAACATGTCACGCAACTGCCTCGCCAAGCTTGCTTTCAGTTTGAGACTCAGCCGCGCAATAGGCTAGACTAGTGACGGCAACTTTGAGACCAGAAGTACTGCCCTACGCATTTTTACTTGCAGAACGAAGTGAGTTTTCCAATTTATCAGCTGGGGCTATGAAATCTCGGAACCTCGGCAAGTCTGTGAAGAGATCTTCGACGGCGCTCTCCAACCCGACGAGGCCTCAAAAGGCAGAGACTCTACGGACACTTCGGAACATGTGCATCTTCTTGTGATCGTCTTAATTTCTGGATTTTAGGCTGGGGTGCTGCATTCGGTGCTAGGTCCCATGGAATCGCTGCAAACGCATCTTCAACGAAAAAGCATCCGATCTAACAAGCAGATCTCCTTCTGGTGCGAGCATGAGCCATCATGATGAGAGCTGTCAGCTTCCACGAGCTACATCGATGTATCGTAGTTCCTGTGGCGCCTGCAGCACCGTGACCCAAATGGCGCTTTGACTATGGTGGCACTGTTGCTACTGACAGGAATATACAGGTACTGTTGTGCTGAGAGTCATGCAGAGAAGTTGCCGACATGTCTTGTTGGTGCTAGTTGCGTGCCGTCATCGCAGATAGTGAAGCACAACAACAATTGGGTACATGAAGCGCTGATGCACTCCACTAGCTGCTGCATGCATGTTGCTCTGGGACTCCAGGCCTCGGGCCTCTAGGCCTGGGACATGTGCGAGGGGGGAACAACAATAGCAATGACAGCAACTAGTATAAGCTATATTATACTCACAGCAACAAGCACAAGCAGACCAGTGATACTACGAGCACGTAACACCAAACTGGAAAAATAA